TGCTGTGAGAGGGATGGGGCTTGGAGGTGGGGCATGAGTGAAGCAGAGAGGGTGGGGGAGTGGCGTGAAACCTGTTTTTCTTCAAATTTTCAGTCGAAGTCTGCTCTCTGCTCAATGTTACAGACTGCAGCTTTAAAAGGGAGTTTTTCCTCTCCGCTGTCACTACAAGCATGCTTTGTGTGAGGGATAACCTTCTAGTCAATGAGTCCATGCAATCACCTGGTTTTCCTTAGAAAACTTTGAATCAATCTGACTAGAAGATCTGGTGAACTGTAAAGTGCTTTGAGATGACATGTGTTGTAAATTGGTGCTATATAACTAAAGTGAATTGAATTGACATTACCTGTTTGGAGGTAATTTGGTCTCTATGAAAATAGTTTAGTTCTGTATTTATAATCATAGTATCTATTTGTGTAATTTGCTTGATAAAAGTTTGATTTTAACAATACTACATATAACCATTAGTTAATACATTCCTGTTAAGCTCTAACTGTAAAAACCGAGATCCTGCAAAGACAGTTTTTGCTTGCAAGAAATACTTGGATAAACTAATATATGATTATAAAATATAACCCGAGAAGTTACTGCTCCATAAAACTTGATGATGCCAGTGAGGGACACTTACATGCACACACTCCTTTTTCGTACCTAGGCTTGTCCGAGCTGTAGTCGCAGTACAGCCCCTTGTGATAGTCACAGGTATCTGCCTCGTTGCACTCCTCCCCAACCTGCTTGGCACAGGCCTTGCAGCAGTCGCAGCCATCCAAAATTAGACTCACACCTGCCGGACACTTGGGAGCCACCTCAGGACACTCGCATGGCCACTTGCAGTACCGTTTTCTGTTGTACGGGTCTGCGGTTGGAGAAGAAACGGATGTGGCAGGTGGCATGGCAGTGGAATTCAAGGAGTAGGCCTGGAAGAAGAAGAGCACAAAAGTTAAGTTTACATTTTCCTGATCTCTGTGTTATATCTCTAATATTGTGTTTGTTTTTTTCAGCACTTTCTGTATGTTTCTAATGTTCAATAGTATTATTGTTGCCATTTCTTTATGCTCACTATTTTTATTTTTTTAGCCTATTTTCTGGATCTTTTGGTGTTACCATTTGGTAATGCCATGGTATTCTCATTTATTTATTCTGTATTATTGGATAGTTTTTTATTAGATTCTTCCCGTTAATAGTTATACTTCAGCCTGACCAGTTAGTTTGTAAGATTTAATTTACTTATGTCTACTCATATTGTCTTTTCTTGGACCAATTTTGCTGACTATTTAAGCCCTCTGTTTGTTTTTATTTGTAACTGGGTTCTTTGCTTGCTTCCTGTCTATATGCCCAGGCTTTTGTTTTGTAAATTGTTATTGTCTTTATTAAATCCTTCAATTCATCACACTGCTTCTAAGTTTTTGGCTCCTTCGTTATCTGGCAAATTATAGCTCCTACCTCCTGTGCCTCCCTCCTATCCTTTACTTTTTGTGAGGCCAACAGTAAGACAATATCCAGGGTAGGAAATCCTGTGCTGAATCCAAGCAGAACTAAAAAAAAAAACAGTTACTTAAATGCTCTTCATATAAATAAAAACAATACATATGTGTCTTTTCTTACTGCAGTCCAGTTCTGGCATTTATAATGGCAACCTCTGATGCACTTCTGCTTTGGCTTGTGTCCTTACCATTTTGACTAATTAGGATTGAGCCTAGTCTGCACCTTGGTCTATATAATCAAACTTTGTGATAAAAATGCTTAGAAAAATAACATTAATCAGAATTCCCAAACTTTTCAAATATATTTTGGTGAAATAAATATTTTCTTAATATATGACAGAACTTGGTTCTTATGTTTATATATTTACTCTTTAAAAATCGTGAAAGAGATTCTAAAATTAAAAGTTGTAAGTAATAGCTTCTGTGCTGTGTTGTATCCATATAATAAACGTGTTGCTCCAAGAAGGACATGTGACCTGTTGTATTAACTAAGGCATGCAATATCTTTAATCCTGCATTTATTCATATCGTCTTTGGCAACATGCATGGCTGAATGGTAGATCTGAGGGCTTTCACATAACTAATTTGTTTACACCCTTGATAATCACTAATATGTGGTCACTGCAATAAAAAAAGCTAAACACCCAGTGGAGATAAACTTATTAAATTAGCGTAAGAGCCTAGCTATGCAAGTAATTGTGCTGAGAGGTTGCAAAATACAAGAATATTCTAAATGGTGTCTCAGTTAGCAGTTACAATCTTCTTGTATTTTTTGTTGTGGAATCTGCCTTCTGCTGCTATACTGCAGTCACTTTCCCCTGTTAGGAACTCCTAAACTTTCCCCTGTTAGGAACTCCTAAACTTTCCCCTGTTAGGAACTCCTAAACTTTCCCATGTAAGGAACTCCGAAACACCAGACAATCCACATTGGGGATTTTTCTCAATTTTTGTTATCATTGTCTTCATTCTCCCTGGCAATTGTCCATTCCCTAACCAACAATACAGATAAACATTTTCTCCATAACTGTAAAACCCCTGACTTCAGTTTATCTGTAGCCCTCTGTTTTGCTGAAACCTGTCTTGATGAGCACATCACTCACCTGAAATACAGATGCTAGACTGCAATTCCAGCAATTTCGAGTGAACTTGAGTTGGTAGGTCTTCTATATAAACAAACTCTGTTGTGCTGCTGGAATAGGATTATAGGACACCTATCCATTGCCTAGTCTTTTTTAAATAAATGATACACTCTTTTATTGTCAGGGGGAGTTCTCCTTGTTTGTTCTGGCAAAGGTTTACATCCCACCACAAGTCTGCACGTAAGAGACACTAGGCTGAATGAGCTTCCTGAAACTGTCACTTCTTACATAGGTTTTGTAAGGGAGTATGTAAGCAGACCAAGATCTTTTGCCCATAGAGCAAGAATATACAAGTGTTCACTTTACATCTAAGCGAACTGTAAATACAAAGGAAGAGGGTAACATCAGTGGGGGTTCTGTATAGTCAGGCTAGGAGCAAACTGACTTAGGAGATTAGAGCAGATAAAAGAAGCAACAATAAAAAAGGTAAAAAAAAAAAAATGGTTGCAGAGGAGTTTGGAAAGGTCTAAAAAAATATACTAACTAAAAGAGACCCCACCCCAAAGCCCAACCATGAGCAAAACTCCTTATCTGACAGCAGAGCTTAACTGCTTCTCTTGCAAGTTTAAAGAGGAGGTGTTCAAGCCCACCACCAAGTTCACATGTCATCCTGAACAATAAATTCCCTCTTCTGCTTTGCCCCTCTACCAGGACCTAAGATCTCAGAGGAAGATGTAAATTGGTTCTTGCATTCTCTAAAGACCAGGAAAGCTTGAGGACCTGACAATCTGCACTGCCGAAAAATGACTAGATTCTGACTCAAGTGTTTGACAACTATAGGCCTATTGCAATGACTAGTATCAGGGTGAGCATCTGACCCTGTTGAAATACTTTAAGCAACAGGTTCAATGACTATAGGTTGACTCTACTAGAAAAGCCATGTTTTCCTTTTTAATATGTAAAGGTCTTTAATAAAAGCAGTGTAAGCACTCAACAACAACTACTACCACCATCAAGTTTAAGCACATTGTGACAAAGTTTAGACAACAAGAACCATGCATGAGTATAAGTTTAGTTAATTCAAGAAAAAACAATTGTTTCATATCATTTGCGCTGCTCAGCACAATAGAGAAACTTAGCTGAAATCTTTAAAATGTATGCCCATTCGCACACTCATCAGGCATGCTTAATCCAATCAATTATAGTAAAGCATATTAAATTGTTTTATGTATTTTTTTCTAAGCTTGTTCTCACCCCTTCAGTCGAATTAGTCATAATACTAATAATAAATCAGTGTGATGTTGTCAGCTAATGCTGATTAATGAGTTTTAATCAAAGCGTTGCCCCTAAGCCAACCCTCTAGAGGAGTTAATTTGGCCTACAGTGACTCTGCTATTTACAAAAAGAGTAACACAGTTAAGCCCACTATTATTCATATCCCATGCAGAGAATCCATGGAGTGGACTAAAAATGAAAGCAATGGCATTGGTATACTATATTGTTTAAAATAAAAAAATAAAAACTTTTCATATTGTTCAATATGTTTCAAGATATTCCTGATACTTTGTCTATGAGAGGCAAGGTTTTTGGATGAATAAAATAAATTTCAAATCTAAATTAATGATGAATAATTTTGGGTTTTAACTGTAATAAAAACTCTTCGGGAAACTATTTCTTAGAAAAAGGAATCAGATGTAAAATCAATGGGCAGGACCTGTACATTAATTTTGATAACTGGATGCTTCATGCAGTCAAAGTGCTAATTAAAATACTGGATGAGTATCAAGGCATTGTGGAGGGAGTTCCTTTTCAGTTTTAAAACTTTTTAAAATGCAATTTATACCTTTTATCATTTACATTGAAATGTAAGCTTCAAAACGACAAGTTAAAAAAGTATCCTTTACGTATTTCAACTAATTTGTGTGTTTTAGAAGTCTTTTTGCATTACGAATTTAGAAGTTCTGCTTGTGTACTACTTCATTACTTCACAAAATAACAGGGTCTAAATTCAGGTATGGGTGTTAAAAGAGAAGTTATATTGTGAATAAAATCTGTATAATTTTAGGTTTTAGATTAGACATTCTTGACCAAAGGCAACAATATCCCATCTCTGCAATGAAGCAGAGATAAGATCCAACTTTTGAGAAATAAAACACAAAACCTCTTTAATCAATAATGTATTTATGTACCAACTTTCCAATAGCTTTTTACCAACCTATGCTGAAGAACTGTTTAAAAAAACAGTAGCAAACGGAAAAATAAAAAGCATTTCTTATACTAACCACAAGAGGACACTAAAACCTTACATAAATAATGGTAAAAGCTGTCAGTTGTGGCTCACATTTCAGGTTTATCTAATCACTGAATATAGAGAGACAATAAGAAAGTATCTGCAGGTGTACTAAACAGAAATTAAAAATTTTCCTGAACTGTTTTATTGAAAAACTAAAGGAAAACACCCAAATAATAGATTGCATTTCTGTTGAATTATACTTAAAACAAAATCACTGAAGTGATCAATTATTTAATGTGACACATTTATTCAATCTAACAAGTGAAAAAAAAAAAGTTTCCTTTAGCCCACCTGTTGAATCCCAGCTGCTGTCAGAATCCACAACAGGAGCCAACTCATCACTGGTGAGGAAGTGCCCGTGCATTAAATCAGGAATCCGGTTCCGCTCTGTTTACACTACAGAAACGCAGCTCTTTTCCCCTAGGTGAGCTACATCCCTCTGCCGGGCTGTCATTTTCTGCAGCTCTCCTCTCTCTGATCCCAAACCTTCTGCTGACAGCCCAAAGTAATGTCTGTGGGGAGGAGAACAGCCCACTGTGGAAAGTTTCTTCTCCTTTTCTCCACTCCACTTTCACCCAGAAAATCCTCCTCCTCCTTCTCCTCCTCCCCATCTTCTTCTCACAGCACTGGCAGCCCCGGTGGTTTGGGCGTGTCTGAAAGACAGCTGTTCTCTCTGGATGTTCTGGAACTTGCTTGGTTAAGATTATAGGATATAGATCAAATCAGAGGCATAGCCAGAAATTTTCTATAAGGGTGGCCAGGCAATAACCAATGTACACTGAAGGGGGGCCAAATGTGGATAGGCACCAGAACCTCAGGGTCAATCTACACTGCTCCAACAGGAACAAGCACAACGTCCATATCCCTAAATAAAGATAAACTATATTTTCCTACAGCCTTTGCTATAAAATAGATGCATATACTTAAACATCCATCTAGATAAAAGCTATATTGGATAAAATTCTTTGAGGTTTATGTTCTGGAGCGAACATCTTTTCCATCGTTATCACTTACCTACTTTTATCAGTAATCATTATGCATTAAATTTATATTTACAAGTAATAATATCTACATATATTGGTAATTTAATAGGGTTTTATTAAAATAGTCATTTACAGTATCTGATTTCTCTGAAGACTTCTCTTTAGGGCATATAACACAAAATTTAGTTCTGAAAGAGCATGAATTCTGTACTAATCATCTCTAATGTTGGTATATTGATGTGCATGACTAACCACAGTGTTTTTGTTGTCAAGTAATTGTTAATATATATATATATATATAAAAAAAAAATGTTTTGAATATTCTACTTGAGAGAAAAAAATGGTAGGGGTGGCCACAGGGGTAGCCAAAAACATTTTTGAGAGCCATTATTGTTTTTAGAATAATTATTTAAAGCATTACAACTTGGGATGTTTGACTTTTGGTTTAAGGAGAACCTTTTTATCATGCAATTGTAGCCCTTTCTATGAAACATCATATCAGAATATGATAGTAAGTTAAGAAAACTGATAATGATGAAGCATAAAAAGAGAAAATCAAATGAAGTCAGATGGTATTAATAATCCATCAAATCCACACCTGTACCATGACCTTGATCAGCTTGAACTACATTAGCACAACTGCAATGGCTGCCTCCTCTTTCGCATATAGAATTTAAAATTTCCTTACTCTCCGTTAGTATTTTATTAAGCGATGAATGATCTAACACTCTGATATTTCACTAAACTGTTGGAACTAAATATATATAACCCTATAAGAGCACTGGCAACATCCTACCAGATGCTGTTAGCGCAGTTGTGTTACAACAGCACGTTTCTGCTGAGGCCTTTAGTTGTCAAGGTTAAAATTGGAGTACGGAAAGGGTTGGGCAGGTAGTTCAACCAAGTCAACCAGTAATTATTTTGAAATAATTTATCAGCTCATTCTTTTCAAACATACATGTTTAGGGTTGTATTTACTGCAGCACTACAGTCTTTGTTTGTTTTTTCTTGCAGTGTGTTGCTGACCTGTGACTATTTCTCTGCTGCAGCCAAACCCCCCAAAGAGCTGCTGATGTGTCACCTAACCACACACGTTACAGGTTGCCCACTGTATCTTTATTAGGCCTCTGAATGTATCTGGCTTCCAGATGTTCACTTTAAATCAATGATGTCATGATAGTTTGATACTTTCCCTTCTTCCTCCAGCTTTTCTGTGAACGTGGATGTCTCATTTTGAGAGGATACAGACAATGAACCAAAGCCATTTCACTCAATGAAGTTATTTCCAGTTGGAAAATACCAAGCAGATTGCTGCTCTTTTCCTGCTGAAAGTGTCTCTCTGAAAAACCAAAGTGTCTGAGAATTTTTGGCCTCTGGTGGAGACAGAAAAGGGGGAGAGTAATGGATGAGAAATGAGCACTTTGTAGAGAGGCTGGCTGCCCCAGGTCTGAACCCCTATTATTTACAGACAGTTCTCTAATCCCTGTCAGAAAGCTGTCAGCCACTGAGCTGATCTGAGCAGTATTTCCGTCTCTGCTCTAGCCCCCGTGACCCGACCCCTCTGCAGCACAATGTGCCCACTTTCACTCCTTCACACTCTTGGTCCTTTTTCTCTTTCAAGCTTCTTTTTTTTTTTTCCCAGTTTTCTTTTTTTGGTACATTAAACCATATGCCAAAAAAATGTCAAACCTGTTAAATTTGAACCTAGATAACAAAACACCGGTACTTAATCAAAGATATTATTTTCAAGTGTTTCCAGAGCGTCTAGTGTGATTCTGGCTGGATACATGGCCTCTCCTCTTAGAAGAAATAATAAAATTATGTTTAATCATTTGGAATCATGCCTGGGATTAAAGCATTTTCTACAAATTCTCAGTGTGTTAAAGTTTAATGTCAGCCTGATTAATCCAAGATAAAGTTGTGTTGTGTGTTTGGAAACTATATCCTGCTGAAATCCTCAAGTCCAAGTTTTAAGACTCCATTTTTAACCAGGTATATTTTAGGGAAAATGAAAAATAAATAGTTTTTAGAAGTCTTGATTTTTTCTTCCACTTTGTATAATGATAACTTTGGCAGCAAACAAGCAGCATGATGCTTCCAGCTGCAATACCAACTACAAAAAAATATATATTTCTATTAGTCACGTCAATAAGTTTTATTCAAATCTCAACATGAAACGTTTTCCTAAAATGTCTTTATGCTGTCTTTTTGAATAGTTTCAAATTGCAGCTTAGGTGTTGGTTTCAAAGAATGAACTTCTCGGCACCTTCTCAGTCTGTAATGATTTTAAACTGCCGTTACTCTGAAGAGTGACACTGGTGATCCAGGAGTTTCAACCTAATAGCAAGCATAAGCCTTTACAGTTTGTAGATGTTTCTAAACATCTGGAACAATGTGTTTTATTTTAATCGAGTGGCCATTTGCACAAGCATAAATGTGTATGTTGTATAAACAAAGGCCAAAAAGGGACAGTCGTGAGGTTGTAAAAGCTTTTTAAAATTCTTACCATGCTCTTTGGTTTGCTGTTGCTTAATACCTCAGTTTAAGAGAAATAACATTTAAAGGGGTCATAGAATGCAAAACTGAGTTTTCATCGTCATAGACGAAAAACGATAGTTCAGTGGGTGAAATGGACGTACAGAGAAGTTCAAACCCCATTGACACCTCCTTTCTCTGCAAATCTCACAATTCTAAACCTTCACCATAAAACGGGCAAATTCAAATGAAGCACTGAATTGACATCAACAGGGATGTTGCATTATTTGGTTCTGGCCTGTACTATTGTCATGCTCCGAAAATTACAGACCAACCCACTGGCTCACTGGCCCAAGAACATGAATAGAGGTAGATGTAAGACATCACTTTAGCTGTTTAGCCTACAGTTGGGTTTACCTTTACAAGAATTAGAGGCAGTTTCTCTATTGAAAGTGAGCCATAATTATTGGCTTAAATGCTAGTGTTCTAGGCTGCTCAGAGAAAGGGGTACATTTCACAGTCTTCCCAAGGATCCAAAGACTCCTCAGGCATCGAATATTCGAATATATTGCCAGATCCCTGCAAAGTTTGATGCTCAGCTGTTTATTTGCTCTAAGCATTTTACCAATGACAGCTTTCAAAATCTTGGACAGTTAAAGATACGGGGCGAGGGGGTCCGAACACGACCAAGTGACGGTATGCTTCCCCTTATGCTCACACTTGGCTTTCAAGATGGTTTTAACAGAAGACCTGCTAAAAACCATCCATTACCACTAATCGGGTTATACTATTGAGAGACTCATGAGACCACTAAACATGGTCCAGGTTTAGGTCCTCTGGAGGACCTATTAAGATCAGTAGCTATGGTGGGAGGACGAATCTGCTTCTACAACCCAAAAGTTATGTGTTTATATAGGAGTGCCAGACACACACACTCACGGTGGCAAGCTACATTGTAGCCACAGCTGCCCTGGGGCTCACTGACAGAGGTAGGCCTGCCGTACACTTGCGACACCGAGCCCTCTGACCACCATCAGTAGACAATGCAGGTGAAGTGTCTTGCCCAAGGACACAATGACACTGAAAGTCGGAGCCGGGGCTTGAACCGTCAATCCTTCGATTTCAGGGCAAACTCCTACATCCAACACCACACTCACCCTTATAACAATGCTGTCAGTCAAAGCATCTGTTAGAATGGCTTAGCCATATGTGAATATGATTTGAAAAAGACATATAGTCCTAATTAAATAAGTTGAATAAAATTATGAAATTATATGAAAACAGTTTAGGCAATTTGTAATCTTGCACACATGAATATTTCTTTCAACCAATGAGCGTTATAGCCAACTGTCCCCTTGATGCCATGGACTGAACTGAGAAATATCTGAATGCAAACCAAAAAATATTAGATCGTTTGCTATAAAGGGTAAGTTGTGTCTCTGATTTGTAAAACACAAAATGAGAAAACTGTAATCTGAGCACACAGGTGAGATCGAATTATATTGATTGACTTGATTGATCTCACAGTGAAGAAATGTACTTGTTTCATCCTCTCAATAGTCAGAAAGAAGAAGAAGGTAACAAACGGAAGTAAAAGGTGCATTGGGTATACACAGTATATGCAACTATAACTATATATAACTATATAGCTATGTGTTAAATTTATTATCTGAAAATAAAGCTGTGAAAAACGTAAAAGGATGAGAAGCAGAACCACACAAAGCACAAATGGGGCATGATTGCAGGAGCCGATCATCTGTGACTTCAGTCTTGCATCATTGCTCAAACTGAAAATCCCCTCATTAAAAAACCTTCTACTGACCAGGAAGTCCTAAATTCAACCCATGTTTGGGAAACCTTGGAGCTTAAAAGAAAAATCAAGGCGATAATCCCTCTTTGATTACTAGAATGACTTTGAAACACCTTTAGGGGACAAAAAACAATCAAGATGATGTAAATGCTTCTCATAGAGTTTGGGAACATATTCTGTGATCAAATTACAGCTTGGAGCCAACTGCCTCAGTTATACAGCATAGAATGCCAAACAGCGAAGATATGATCTATTACACGGTACAAGCAGTAGGA